ATCCTTCGCAGCACGTTGGCACAAAAATGTTCGATGCCGTCCGCGGCAAACATGCAGCATAAGGATTTGTTTGGAATGCGCAAGATCTCCACTTAGCATGAATGTGTCCTGTTTTAAGGCCACAGTCTTTGTTTCGTGTTTTCCACTTGGCTTTGCATGAATTTATTTTTTACTTTCTTCGCCAGCCACCGATTTTGTCCGGTTGTTTCTCAACCAAAAACCTAAAACCCGCCGCCTCTGTCACCCGCCTCTGCCTTCCGCATCCGCCAAGCTCTGAGGTGCCGGCGCGAACCACCAGCGTCGAGCAAGCGTGCTGCCTGGCGGAAGGCCCCGACATTTTTCGGCCAATAGGATGGAACTTCCTGTTTGGCATGCCTGGAGTTTCCATGACCCTTAAAAGAAAGGGGGTCATGACACAAAATACAGGGGTCATGCCCCCCTTTCTTTTAAGGGTCATGGAGACTCCAGGTGGTGTTAAACCGCAGGGAAACCCAAAGAAAAGGAAGAGCAACTCATTTGAAGGGCGCCTTTTGAGGAACATGCGGTTTGGATGGTGTTGCAGGGAAGCCAAAAAAGCCCCCCGCTCGTCTTTGGACCCCCCTTGCCCCGATGTTTGGAAACACTCAAACTTACCATCGCACTGGGCTTATATGGACCCCTGTGGTTGTCCAGGGTACCCATGAGGTTGCTTGGGGGAAAGGGAACCCAGCCCGGCCTTCAGGCAGTGCTTGAAGAATGGCCGACGCCACTGCGCGCTTTGCCTGAGATGGATGGATTGGTCCCACGTATTTGAAGCCCTAAATGGCTGGCTTCTCACTTATGAATTCCGTTTTTTTAGAAGCCCTGAGTTTTTGGGCCAATGAACCAAACAACAAAATTACGATGGCTAAAAAACAGGGTTGCAATGTCGTTCAACAATACCACAATCGAATCTCGAAGCCCAGACACAGTCCAGGAGTGAACATGCTTCAAGCAAAGCCCCAACAATCCCAACACGAAGATGCCAAGCTCATTGGAATCTCACCCCCCAAACCCTGATTGATTTCATGCGTCAAAGCTTTCAAACCCGGTCCCAAAGCCTTTTCCGACGCCAAATCGAATCGAGACTGGTCTTGCTGACGACCCCACCTCCGGACAGTGCTGCAAGCTTGCCAAAAATGGGAACCATGGGAACTCGTGCGCCACTGCGTAGCCTGGGCTCGGAAAACGCACCACATGCCGATGCCACCTGGAAAGATGAAACACATATCCCCTTTTGGCTTCCTTTGTCAATGCCATCTGGAAAAATGAAACTCAACAATGCCCATGCCCTGAAAGGCTTCCTTTGGATCATTTGGACAAATCAACGAAAACGTTGGCTATTTAACACCCAAATACATCCTCAATCAATCTGCTTTGAAAGAAGAGCATGCACTTTGCCACAGCTTGAGGTACACCAAGACCAAAGCGATAGGCTTCCCTGTATGTCTTTTGTGAACACACCAAAAGGAACCACACTTTAAATTGGTTTACGCCGAACGGGGACACCCAAAATTATTGTTTTCCTTTTGGGGGGATCGTCAAAAACGGGGCACCGTCAAAGGGGTTTCCAACAGGCATTCATCGAAAGGGAGGCCGTGCAATCCAACTGAGAGGTCCCCAAAGCAAAAGGTGTGGCTCCAATGCGTAAACAATATCCCCCCACGCTGAACAACTCATTTTGAACTCCGGGGGGGTTGAATTAATTGACTTCATTGGGGGGTTCAACGTAAACCGTTCCTATCCGGTGAGCTGGTTCAATTCCGAGAGGCTGCAATGGGCATCAAGGCTGTCCGCTGGATCCAAGAGATCCTCAGCTTCGCATCCCGAACAAACCAGCTTCGTTCCACTTTGGGGGTTCTTGAAAACAGCCCATTCCAGTTTGGAGATCAACTTGCTACGTTTTGCCACCCCCAAGCCTGCTGTTTGATGCGCGTAGACTAAGCAAGCCCTTGGCATTAATCCAAGTTTTCTTTTGCACACGTGGCAAAAAAAGGTGGCGTCTCAAAAATAGGGAGCACCCCCAAAATGGCACTTGTTCCTTTGGCTTCCAATTAAAGCCACTGATGAAAGTGTTTCAACGCTTCTTCTTTAGATGGCCCACATCCGGGGCACACAGAACAAAAGACATGCTTAGATTATGTTTCATAATGTTTCATATCTAGTCTTCCGCAGAGTGGATAATTTAGTCTTGGAGGTGACCACAGTTCAAATCTCTATATCTCTGTGTCTCTCTCTCTATCTTCATCAAGTGACTCGGCACGGGATCTGGAACCACTTGTTTGTCACCGTTGCGGGACTGGGACATTTCCACTTCGGCCACTCTCCCTCTCACAATAAAACGTGAGGTCTGCTTCCGTGATCTCCAACCTGCTCAAGTCGGAAGGCGCAATCGGTCAAAGCTCAATCCACAGCACCGGGAGGGCACCTACACGAATTTCCTCCCCGCTAAAGGGGTGCCGCGTATTGTCAAAAACCCTTG